GCAGGGATTGTAGGTGGGGGGAGTGAATGTACAGCACTCTCTCCCACCTTCAATACCACGACTGAGGTGCCCTTGAGCAAGGCACCGAACCCCCAACTGCTCCCCGGGCGCCGCAGCAAAAATGGCTGCCCACTGTTCACAGTAGATCAAGTGTCGTTTACGTTCAAATGAATCTCAACATTCTATGTCAGCACGGCAGCTTGAGTTGATATTTGAAAATCAACACAACTGTTCCTGAAGCCTTAAATCCTGATCAAGCTCAGTGCTACAAGCTCTTCACAACTCTACAATTTGGTGTGTCCCAGTAATTTGTTGAGTTTGTAAAGTTTTTCTTGATTCATTAGCATGGAGCAGCGTCGCACAAGAAGAACCAGGGCTCATCCCACACACCTGAGGGGCTTTGTAGTGGAGGGCGTCTCTTCTATTCGAGACCCATGTGAGAATTCACAGCTGTAATCAGGTTGGACCTCTCTTACAGCTGCATCTCTGCGAAAGCTCGAAGACCCAGCGGTCTGGAAGAGCGCTACCTAAAGAATGCTGCTGTCCTTCCCGACATCTGTTCAGCAGCATCAGTCTCTTCAGTGACACCTCTGTGTCAGCAGGAAGAGTCTGTCTCCATTCACGGCTGCAGCATCCAGGGCTACCAGGACATTTCCCACTCTGTGGCTGAGCCCGTGATGAAGACACTCTGTGGTCGACGCTGTCCCCACAGCCTTGAGCTGGGACTGAAGATTAAGCAGCGTCTGTGGAAGACACTGAACTGCCCCTCACTGGTAGAGACAGAACAGCCTGATGGACGCATCCTGATCACTAAAAGCTTCTCCACAAACAACAGAAGCTTTGCTCCTCGAATTCACGTGGACATCAGTGAAGAGCCCCTGCCTGAGGAGCCCAGAAGAAAGAAGCCCAGACACTGAGTCATCACAGTGTCACATGGAGCCTGAAGTATGTAAATACTGTATAGTTATATAGTAAGTTTTTGTTTGTAGAAGTTCCATTTGTAAGTTTTTAGTTTGTAGAGTAAATTTTCAGCACATGTTCTGGTGTTTAGCACTTTGCTACATGGTTGTCAGGATGTTTTGAGTGGTTTTCTGTGCGTTCACATGGTTTCGCCAATCTTCTCTGTGAGGTTGTTAGGATGTTGTTTTGCAGTCGCTGGCCTCCTCTGAGTGTTTTTCGTGCATTGCTACATGGCTGTTAGTTATGCGTTATGCATGGTTGTTAGTTATGGGTGGTTGGTTGATTTGCAGTTGGTTTAAACAGTTGGGTTAGAGTAGGTTAGGGTTCCTTGCACGGTTTGCAGCTTGCTGTGAGGGCTTGTATGCATCAGTGATGCTGAGAGCTACGCCACTGGTACTTCACAACTACTGGTAGGGTCTTCCCATAGTGGACAGGTCTCAGCTGAGATGCCAGACGAAGACAAACCACCTGATTCTGGACAGCAGCAGATTGGCCTGATGTTCAGAAGATCACGTTCTTATGTATACGGGTAAGTTGGAGAGTTTTACAGCATATAATAATTATCAAATTTTCTTTTAATTTTGCATTCAAATTGAGAATTATGGAATCTGTAAAAGTTTGGTTTCAATTTATAATCATTGATTCAAATATTTAATCTCAATTAATTGCATGATTTCAGAGTTAATCAACAGAGATAAAGCAATCAAAGCATAAAAACTAAACAACATCAGAAGCTCAAAACTATTCTTCATATACTTTTTACATACAGTAGATTGTATATAAAATAAATATGCAGTGTTAAATTTGTATACACATTTATATACTTTTAGATTTGTTTTACCATGCCAAAAAAGCCACTTATCTTACACACTAAATTATATCATTTGTATATTAACTAAATACACCAAATATGAGTTTCTAAATATACAATATTTTAATCATTTTAATAATTACAATTATATGTTAAAACAGTCTGTAGCTGTCAGTCTTGAGCACCCCGTTAAGACCAAAGAGTTATAAACAATGAAACAAACCAAACAGCTTCTGTGAATCAAACAAATTTGAAACAAATAAAAAGTATTTGTTAAAAAAAAAAAAAAGACAAATGTATAAAACCATGTTCTTAACGACTTTAATGATGGAAAGAACTACAATCCCATTAAGCGAATTGCGAATGGCATAATATGTAATTGCAGTTGTAAACTAAATAATCTGTTTATACGCTACCATCCAGGACTTATTTATGCTTCTCATTTTTCGCTTTATATAAATGTCTCTGCTAAATAAATACATGTAAAATTTTCCAGGCGGTCCTAATCAGGGAGAACCCTGAAAAACACAAAACTCAATTAGATCAGCACATTATTCATAGATATACTTTGCCTTATTTTAAAAAGTAAATCATGCATCATGACTTACACTCTTAAAAATAAAGGTGCTTCACGATGCCATAGAAGAACCTTTTTGTCCAAATGGTTCCATAAAGAACCTTTAACATCTGAAGAACCTTTCTGTTTCACAAAAGGTTATTTGGGGCGAAAGAAGGTTCTTCAGATTATAAAAAGGTAAGAAAGTTCTTTAAAGAACCTTTGACTGAATGGTTCTTTGTGGAACCAAAAATGGTTCTTCTATGGCATCGCTTTAAGAACCTTTTGAAGCACCTTTATTTTTAAGAGTGTAGTAGTGACTCACCTCCTTGGATTGATCTGCTCCAAGTCTAAAGCAACAGCAGATAATGTCAACAAAATACCCAATCAATCCGTGGAGCAGACCTGTGTCAAGAAGCACAGGACAAGAAAAGCCTATGAAGCCATGTTTGGCTATGATTTGGTAACAACACTCTGATAATGCATTGTATAACCTTGAGAATATGTTTAATAATATTTTAAATGACTACCATAAATAATATAATCATCTGCTGTAATCGATTTACTTTTATATTTACTTTGTATAACATGTGAAGGTTACCTGAAGTTGAAAAGATTCCTCCATAAGTTGGAGAGTTTTACAGCATATAATAATTATCAAATTTTCTTTTAATTTTGCATTCAAATTGAGAATTATGGAATCTGTAAAAGTTTGGTTTCAATTTATAATCATTGATTCAAATATTTAATCTCAATTAATTGCATGATTTCAGAGTTAATCAACAGAGATAAAGCAATCAAAGCATAAAAACTAAACAACATCAGAAGCTCAAAACTATTCTTCATATACTTTTTACATACAGTAGATTGTATATAAAATAAATATGCAGTGTTAAATTTGTATACACATTTATATACTTTTAGATTTGTTTTACCATGCCAAAAAAGCCACTTATCTTACACACTAAATTATATCATTTGTATATTAACTAAATACACCAAATATGAGTTTCTAAATATACAATATTTTAATCATTTTAATAATTACAATTATATGTTAAAACAGTCTGTAGCTGTCAGTCTTGAGCACCCCGTTAAGACCAAAGAGTTATAAACAATGAAACAAACCAAACAGCTTCTGTGAATCAAACAAATTTGAAACAAATAAAAAGTATTTGTTAAAAAAAAAAAAAAGACAAATGTATAAAACCATGTTCTTAACGACTTTAATGATGGAAAGAACTACAATCCCATTAAGCGAATTGCGAATGGCATAATATGTAATTGCAGTTGTAAACTAAATAATCTGTTTATACGCTACCATCCAGGACTTATTTATGCTTCTCATTTTTCGCTTTATATAAATGTCTCTGCTAAATAAATACATGTAAAATTTTCCAGGCGGTCCTAATCAGGGAGAACCCTGAAAAACACAAAACTCAATTAGATCAGCACATTATTCATAGATATACTTTGCCTTATTTTAAAAAGTAAATCATGCATCATGACTTACACTCTTAAAAATAAAGGTGCTTCACGATGCCATAGAAGAACCTTTTTGTCCAAATGGTTCCATAAAGAACCTTTAACATCTGAAGAACCTTTCTGTTTCACAAAAGGTTATTTGGGGCGAAAGAAGGTTCTTCAGATTATAAAAAGGTAAGAAAGTTCTTTAAAGAACCTTTGACTGAATGGTTCTTTGTGGAACCAAAAATGGTTCTTCTATGGCATCGCTTTAAGAACCTTTTGAAGCACCTTTATTTTTAAGAGTGTAGTAGTGACTCACCTCCTTGGATTGATCTGCTCCAAGTCTAAAGCAACAGCAGATAATGTCAACAAAATACCCAATCAATCCGTGGAGCAGACCTGTGTCAAGAAGCACAGGACAAGAAAAGCCTATGAAGCCATGTTTGGCTATGATTTGGTAACAACACTCTGATAATGCATTGTATAACCTTGAGAATATGTTTAATAATATTTTAAATGACTACCATAAATAATATAATCATCTGCTGTAATCGATTTACTTTTATATTTACTTTGTATAACATGTGAAGGTTACCTGAAGTTGAAAAGATTCCTCCAATGATGCCATACAGTCTCACAAGAAACACAGAGAGAGGCATATGCTCCTCTCTCACCCTCACCATTAATGGACTCAGGTTATATTTAATAAAGATCCCAGATACACCATGACTGCCTTTCTTATTGCTTACAAGCCGCTCCTATACGACAGGCAACATGACCATCAGATAACATGTGAAGGTTACCTGAAGTTGAAAAGATTCCTCCAATGATGCCATACAGTCTCACAAGAAACACAGAGAGAGGCATATGCTCCTCTCTCACCCTCACCATTAATGGACTCAGGTTATATTTAATAAAGATCCCAGATACACCATGACTGCCTTTCTTATTGCTTACAAGCCGCTCCTATACGACAGGCAACATGACCATCAGCAACACACACTTGTACAAATGCATGCACAGGGCACAAATACTCTAGAACCTACCCGTTCTGTAACAGAAAACTGATGCATGTTCACTGAAACACCTGATGTGTGCAGCTTGGTGGGCACAACTGTGATAAAATACTGAAACAGCATATTTTCTGGAAAAAAAAAAGTGTTGGTAAGTGTATTGCATGTAGAAACAGGCATTCTCGACTTATTCTACATTTCAATTTATTTGCATATTTGCATACATAATTTGAAAGCAATCTAATAAATCTAATATAGATTCTGACTGCATATTGTGCTGTGGGTTATGTTGGACAAACATTGAAATATATAACAAAAAATACCTACGCTCTAATGTAATTTTTTCTGTGCCATCAAGGGGATTGATGTGTCCAGGAACATCGTTTCCAAAAGATAAATAATCTATCCGATGTGAGAAGTTAAGAGCAACTGGAGAAATGAGAGAGACAAGGCAAATGAATGTAAGAATTTGCATGCATTAATGTCAACAATAAAAAAGAACCGAATTTCCTTTACATGTGAATTATAAAATTATATTTACAATTTTTTCTTGCAAATTTAGAGTCCTCCATCTAGTGAATATCTGAAGAATTACATGACAAGTTAATAAAATTTGTCTTTAAATGTAAATGGTTTGTGCCTTGACAACCAGAGCCCGTATTCACAAAACATTTTATCTTACCACTAAGAGTTCTCCTAAATAGCAGTAAAAGTTTTTAGCTAAGAGTTTTCTCTTAAAACCTATTCACAAAGCTGCTGAGACAAACATTTACTAAGGAATAGAGAGATGTCAGCTTGCTTACTAACTATGCACACAGTGATTGGCTGATAGTCTCTGTCAAAGATTTATTCATAGAAATATTGAAGAGCGCAATATTATGTTGCCATATTCAAAAAAAGATTTTTAAATAAAACTGCTAATTGCAACATTCAAAAAAAGATTTTAAAATACAGGCTAAGTGTCACTAATTAAACAATATACATATATATAAGTATGTATGTTCAGCTAATTGTCAGCCTGTATGCTTCTTGTAAAAAATTAGTGAATATGCATATAAACAGCCTTTTAATTAACAGAGTAGAATCATTCTTGGCTGATAGTAAGACATGCAAACAAAAAAGAAAACCAAACTGGACGCACGAACAGCTGTTACTTCTTGCCCAATTGGTTAATGAAAACAAATAATCAAAGGAAATTTTGAAGTTGGGATATCCTCCAAAACCAAAGGCGATACCTTTTTAAAATATAGTCTCTGTCAAAGATTTATTCATAGAAATATTGAAGAGCGCAATATTATGTTGCCATATTCAAAAAAAGATTTTTAAATAAAACTGCTAATTGCAACATTCAAAAAAAGATTTTAAAATACAGGCTAAGTGTCACTAATTAAACAATATACATATATATAAGTATGTATGTTCAGCTAATTGTCAGCCTGTATGCTTCTTGTAAAAAATTAGTGAATATGCATATAAACAGCCTTTTAATTAACAGAGTAGAATCATTCTTGGCTGATAGTAAGACATGCAAACAAAAAAGAAAACCAAACTGGACGCACGAACAGCTGTTACTTCTTGCCCAATTGGTTAATGAAAACAAATAATCAAAGGAAATTTTGAAGTTGGGATATCCTCCAAAACCAAAGGCGATACCTTTTTAAAATCACATTATCGTCAAATGTTTCTAAAATGTTTACGTTCCGAGGCAGATTGCCGGCAACAGCCATTTTAGTTTGTGGTTTCATCTTAGTGACTTTAGGAGTCCTCTTCACTACTCCTAACTTTTCACAGATTTAGGAGCAAGTTTTAATGCTAAAACGCTTTGTGAAGTACTCTTAGAGCAAAAATTTTGCAATTAAAATCTGTAGACACAAATACATAAAATGAATTTAAATATGTATTTTGGATGTTTTCTTTCCACTAGTCTGTTTGTTTTTTTCCAGTAGTGTCTTGTGAGAACAGTTAATATGGCAATATCTGTGTTTGATTCCAATGATATATATACACCTGTGCAGATCGGCAAAATTGTAAACTTTAGTTATATTAATGTAAACACTTGTAGTGCTTGTTTTCTGGCATAAATGCTAAACACAAGCTAAATGCTAAATAAGATCATTCTTCCTGTTCACCCAACTCAGATAATTGTGCTATTAAAGCTTATTTCTGCACAATCATCTCAAACTGACACAACAAGACTGATGCAAATGTGGATTAAATCTTCGTCTTACCTCTTTCTAAACACATTTAAGACTAAGGTTTGAACACTTTCCAATGAGACGATCCATTCACTGCCATTTAAATGGGCTGTTTTGCAACCACTGCCACATTGTGAAACAGCTGGTTTTTCCGGTTAAACAAAACCCAGCACAGTTTTCCTTAAAACAAAAGTTGACAGACAGAACTGAAATACCTGAAGAATCTGCAGATGCTTCATCCAGAACTCACTGAAACTCAGTAGCTATATCAATTTGCAATAAGGCTTCAGTTAAAATAAATACATAAATAAATGTTTACCTAAAGAAATGTGTGAAGTTAAGAGGAAGTTGTTCACAAATTTTGACAGGATTAAGCATCTTAAAGTGAAAGTAGTTGTACAAATTGCTTTGGTGTAACTCAGTAGCACGTACTATCAAGAGAATATTATGACAATAAACAAAATTATTTTACACAATTATAGCATTTACAAATTGTCAGAGAAGAAACATTTTTTGTGCAGTTCTAATCTGAATTGCATCAATATATTGAAACATTAGTGTATAAAGAACAGCAAAAAAAAAAGACTCTTTACAGCCTTCAGTTTTTAAGTCCATGTTTTTTAATTGTTTTAAGTTTTATTTTAGAGATGTTTACAATCTATGCACATTGCTTATTTTATCTTGAACATTTACTTTAAATTTCATTTTAATATACCATATAGATGTTTTATTTTAATCTCTTCATCTATTAGTATAGGCTAACTTTTTTTTATTGTTCTCATTTATATATCTTATCAATATCTGTGCATCTGCAGGTTTTATACATTTATAAATAAAAATAATAACAAAAAACATTCCTGACGAAATATATTTCATAGCATTGACTTTTTTTACCTACTAGTAGCCTAAATAATGTGAAAAGCGGTCTCAAAGAGGTCGTTCAATTGCGCATGCGCATTCGCTTTCGCCTTTTACCGCGCGGTGACCTGCTCCTGTCAAAGTGAGGAACAGCTTTCATCTCCGCAGTAATATATTCGGCAACGTTGAAAGGTACTTGTATTTATTCATATCGCGTATTAAGTATTACCCACCAAATGTAACAAACTGAAGAGTATAAGTGAATAATAAACGTGCGCTGTCGATTAACGTTAACCTAGCAAGCCACGTGTAACCAGAATTGCACAGAATCAGTCCGGTCATTATTATATTTAATACACTGGATTTTTTTTAGGGACTAACAGTTATATAATTTACGTTTTTATCAAGGAAAGTCCTGTGAGAAGCGTATGCGTGCTGTATTGACATATTTATACACAAGGATAAGTATTATGCCAGGACATGGCCTACATGACCCTCCACGTTCGTTAAAGCTTATGTTTCAGTGCTTTTGCTTGAGATATACTTATCAAACACACCTGAACCAGCTAATTATGGTCTCTGGGTTCACTTGAAAATGACAGAGCAGTGTAATGTAGCAGAGTTTGAGCTAAACTGCAGGAAGTTGGATCTCCAGGAGCAGAATTGACTAGCCTTGCATCATCCCAATTACACACACAATGACCCATGGTACTGATTAACAATGCATTTTACCTCACAGTAAGACAAACGAAGAATGAATCGAGCCTTCACTCAGACCTTGATGAGACCCAATCTCCCTTTGAGGAGACCTGCGACTGGACCGAGTTCACTTACTCCTCGAGGCCCAGCACCAAACTTTCACGAGCCCGCTCAAGAAAATCTGCTAGCAAGTGACATGCTAGATGGTATGGGTGAAATGATTTTGAGCATTACACATGCATGTCGTAAAAAAAAAAAAAACATATTCTTTTTCCAATTCTTTAGGTCCTATGGGGGATGCTGTTCGAAAGGAGAATGTGATTTCCGCCCAAAATAGTCAGAATGTATGTATGTGTTAACATCTGTATAACATTTTTTAAAGATTTATCTTATAAAGTTATTTTTTAAGTCAAAAACCTAAATTCAAACTAATATGTCTTAATGCTTTGACATTGGTTGTATTGCTATGTGTATATATTTGATATATTTTCCTCTTGAGGCTTTAAAGGAATAGGTCACCCAAAAATAAAAATTGTCATCACTTATTTCCAAACCTGTATGGATTTCTCAATGGGGACCGGAAACAGTTTGGTTACCCACATTCTTCAAAATATCTTCTTTAGTGTTCAGCAGAAGAAATACATTTATATAGGTTTGGAAGAACTTGAGGGTGAGTAGGGCTGGACGATATGGCCAAAATTTATATCACGATATATTTCTTAATTTCGGTCGATACGATATAATTCCGATATCGATATGAACACTATTAAAAAGCCTCATAAAAACGGCCAAGAACGGCCACAACAGATGTCTGTACCTACAAACTTATGAAAAATTAATTTGCCAACTCTATGAAACCTACTCCTATAAAACTATATAATATTTTAGGAAAAAAATGGCGCAAATAAATACATGTTCACCTTTTATTGGTATTTAGCCTTCATACAAACAAGTAATGTGAAATCACTGTCAAATAAATCTCAGTCTCCTTATTAATATTAATATTTTTTATTTCAAACTATAGGCTAACATACCAGTCAAAAGTTTTTGAACAGTAAGATTTTTAATGTTTTTTAAAGAATTCTCTTCTGCTCACCAAGCCTGCATTTATTTGATCCAAAATACAGCAAAAACAGTAACATTTTGAAATATTTTTACTATTTAAAATAACTGTTTTCTATTTGAAAATATAATTTATTCCTGTGATTTCAAAGCAGAGCTTTAGCATCATTACTCCAGTCGCATGATCCTTCAGAAATCATTCTAATATTTTGATTTGCTGCTCAAAAATCATTTATTATTATGATGTTGAAAACAGCGGAGTAGATTTTTTTCAGGTTTCTTTGATGAATAGAAAGTTCAGAAGAACAGCATTTATGTGAAATAGAAATCTTTTGTAACATTATAAATGTCTTTATCATCACTTTTGATCAATTTAAAA